ACACACATTATATATATATATATATGTGTATAAAATTACATGCACACACACACACACACACACACACACACACCTATACAAACGGACGGACAGACTCACATACACAATAAAGACGGACAGACGGACACACACACACATATATATATACGTATGTAAAACATGGAAAAAAAAATTGTAATAAAAATATTGACATGTAAAAGTATGAATAAAATGGAATAAGGAATGAGAAGAAGAAGTTAGAAATATGATAAAGCCAATGTTTGCAGTCCTTTAAACTACTAAATGCTTGAGAAGTTTTTTTTTTTTTTCTTTAAACCACGTTAGTAATAATGGTAGAAAAAGATAATGATAGTGGTGATAATAATGATGATAATTACAATAAGATGATAACAATGATAATGATAGTGGTGATAATGATGATGATGACTACGTGGTGATAATAATGGCAATGATTATAATAAGATAAAAGCAATGATAATGATAGTGGTGATAATAATGATAGCAAGAAAGCACAAAAAAAAAAAACAAGCAATCAATTCTATGAGTTGAAAAAAAATGTAATGTATAGGAAGAAATTTTTTTTTCTTTTTTAAACTTTCATAGCATATACTAATAATGATTATTTACACAGCATACAATATACACTCATATACACATACATACATACATACGTACATATGTGCACACACATACACACATACATATGTCTGTACATACATATTTACACACATACATGCATATACACACATACACACACACACATATACGTACATATGTGCACACACATACACACATACACACGTCTGTACATACATATTTACACACATACATGCATATACACACATACACACACGCACACATATATATACATATATATATATATATATATATACACATACACATATACATATAGTACACATACAAGTACACATAAATTACGGTGCTCTTTCATTACTATTTGCTAAAGCTTTTTTTTGCGGTTTGCAAAATATTTTATCTTTACTTTAATGAAAAGAAAAAACTGAAGGTTACAGGGGTACAGTATTACATGCAAGTATGCACGCAAACATACACATAAGTACATATTTCTTTGCTTGCATACTTGCATGTTTGCATGTTTGCACACGATTTAATCAGCAAATATTAATTTATTATGACAATAACAAAGAATAATTATGAATATTATCTTTTCAACAATATATTTGCAATACTTTTTTTTTTTTCTCCGGAATGACTAACAACAATTGACAGCAATTATTTTGAGTTATTATAAAATATAATTTATTATGACAATAACAATAATGACAAAATAAAGAAAGAAAGAGATGATGAAATATTTGTAAAATATGACAAAAATGATAATGAGAATAAAAGGTTAAGATAGTTATTGATACCTTAGCATAAAGTTTGAAGATATTCCATTGCATATAATTGTCCTGTGATGATGGTGTCATTTCTGATCCTGTTCCTGATACTACTGCTGCTGGTGTTGCTGATGATGATGATGATGATGAGGATGATGATGATGACATCGATGATAATAAGCTGTTCATATTAGTTACCCAAATTTAACAAACATATAAGACTACGTTATGAAAATATGCAGCAAATATATTTTGTATATGCTTATGATGGTAATGATGATGATAATGATGATGATAGTGATGATGATAACCTTTCCAATTTATCATTTATCAGACCCGTAAATATAATTGAGGAATACATGTATATATTAAGGATAATAGTTTATAGATGATGATGATGATGATGATGATGATTGCTTCTCTTATCGAACAGCAGCTTCTTCGTGGCGTAAAATCATTCAGGCAGGAATATTTTCATAAAATTCTTTACCTATGATAATCCATTCAGTCAATTTTTCGCCGCAAAAAAAAAAAATTTAGGAAATAAATATCAGAGCAATAATAGCTGCTCGTTCCAATTTCCTTCCTTTTTTTTTCTATCTTTTGCTACAGTACCTGCAGGAAATTAAAAAGAAAGAAATGATAATCAAATATTGGTTAGAATATTTTGAAATAATTAAAATTAAACTATTCGATACGTATAAAAAACGCAAAAAAAAAAAAACGCTGGATAAAAATCAAAGATCAAAAGAAAAGGAATAATCGTACATACATTTAAAATATGAAATTTATGAAAATTAAGTTAAAAAATTTGAAATTTTGCTAACATATATCAACATAATAATACAGTACAAAGATCAATAGTGTAGTATTATTTTAAAAATTATCAATTTCATTCAATTTTCTCCCATTTTTTCTTTGCATAAACCGAAATGAATAAGCATTGTTTAACAATATGTACTATGATAAAAATGTAAAAAATATAATTCCTGTAATCAAATTTCCCAAATTGGTTCTATATGAATTCATATTATCATATATTGATTCAAATATGATATTGAATTTGACAGCTGTACACACACACACACACACACACACACACACACACACACACTCATACACGCCCACACACACGCACACACACTTCACGTATACTACACCCACATACACATACAGACTCACGCATACGTATACACACGCATACACACACATATACATACACATACACACACACATGTACACACATACACACCCACGCACGCACGTACACGCGCACGCACGCACGTACACACGCGTGCACACAAATACATGTACACACATACACATACATGCACACATACACACACACAGATACACACATACACACACACACAATATACATAACACATACATACATATCACATCCATACGTGTCCATGCAGGCATATACATACACATACACACAGACATACACACACACACTCACATATACACATACACATACACCCACACACATACACACAATATCAATCTTTTATGTTCCATTTTAAAAGAAATGAAACTTCCAAGAAAAAAATTAATACTAAGTACTGATAAAATTAATATTTAATGAAATTTAAATTCTAAATTAAATTCCAAATAATGCTAACTAAAAGGAAAAAAAAATGTATTTAATGATGAAAAAAAAAAAAGGTAAACTATCAGCTTCCAATGAATAATAATCCATCCACCAATAGCACTAACGATCTCTTTCTTTCTTTCTCTTTCCCCCTCTCTCTCTTTCTTCCTTTCTCTCTTTCCTTTTCTCTTTCTTTTTTTTTTCCAACCCTTTTGGAACAGTATAAATTGAGAACGATGTTTGATCATAAAATAGGAAAAAAAAAAAAAAAAATGGAAGAAAACGAAAGAAATGAAACAAAATAGAAGAGAAAAAGTTTTAAATAGAAAAAGAAGAATGCATTGAAAGAGATGAGAGAGGAAATTGTTAATGAATGAAAAAAGATGGTAAAGCTAAGAAAGACATGGAAGAGTAAGTGATAAAATAGGAGACAGGATGTGATAGGAATAGAGCGGAGGATGAAAATGAAAAATTGAAGAACGAAAGAGGGAGGTCCAAATGAGAGAGCACTAAAATGCATAGTTAAAGTGTCCTTTGGTTGG